CAGCGAAGACTACATCGCAGGCCTGGTGAATTTCTTCATAGAAAAGTATGCTTAGAATCGCTCTCATCATACTGTAAGTACAATTTATGGAAGAACTTTCTGAAATTTTTGAAAAATTAAGTTTTAACAAACCTTCAGCTGACTCTCAACCACCTTAACGAAATTTTACAAAGAAATTTAAATTCGAATATATACAAGATGACACAAACTTGAATTCAAAGCTGAATATTTAAATTGTCTGCCTGAATTCGACGGCAATCCGAACGAATTAAATAGATATATTTCTATAAGCGAATCGTTAATAAATAGTTTTTAATTAAAGATAATAAATAATTTAACTATCGATAGTTGTGCCTCGGTGGTACGAAAGTACTACCATTCCACGCAAGCCGCTATCTCGCGATGCGGGACTTAATATCTTACCGCTACTTTACGACAAGTCGTATTTATATACCCTGCGCTGTGCTCGACATTTTGTGGAAACGACCCAAGCTCACCTGATGATGGGGTAGGGCCCCGAAACCGGTAGTGACAGCAGGTTGATCCACACTATATCGAACACAGCGTGGAATTAATTTCTATATAAGAAGTTCAAGGCAAGAAACTCTTATACAATTTTATTAAATAATTTTTATGACCGTAGTAATCCAAATAAATTTGAAAATACTTATTTAATGAATTCTATAATTTCTAAGCTTAAGGGAAACACAAAAATAGTTGTAAGCATTCAAAATACAGCCGCATGGGAATATTTAAAAACTGTTTTAACCAGAAACTTTGCTGATCAGAGAGATGAGTGTTGTCTCAATAGAGATCTAGTAATGTTAAGGCAATCGCCAAATGAAAAACCACAGCAATTTTTCGATAAATGTTTAAATATTTTAAATTTACTATGTAGTTATGTTGACATTCACGAATCGACTACTGAGGCAAAAAACTTAAAGAAAAATTTATATCAGGATATAGCTCTAAAAACTTTCTTGTCTGGCTTACGAGAACCTTTGGGAACTATTATACGTTGCATGAAACCTAGTACTTTGGGAGAAGCTTTACAATACGTAATTTCTGAAGATAATATTCATTATTTTCAAAATTTTTCTAGTAACAAAAATATATTTAGGCCACCTGTGGCACATATACAACAATTTAGACCACAAATGCCACAAGTACCGCGATCTAATTTCGGTTCTTCTCAGAATTTACCTTTAAATTCGCATACTCAAAATAATCAATTTAGACAAAATACTTTTCCTAGCCAACCTATAAATATAAGGCCTAACCCTAACTATCAACAACTGAAATTTTTTACTAACTCCCAAGTTTTTAAAACACCTTCAAATGTTAATGTATTTAAACCTAATCCTGGACAAAGATTACCACCACCTACACCTATGAGTGTCTCTACTAGAAACACTACAAACCTAAATAGAGCGGGTCCGTCAACATCAAACCAATATAGAAATAATTTTTCTAACCAAAATCAAAATCGTAATTATTTTAGTAATGTTGGTAAAAATCCAAATATTATTGTCGAAGAACTGTTCAATACAGAGGCAGATCAAGAAGAAACATATGATCAAAATATTGAATACTCTGAGCCTCAAGATTACGAGGAATTTAATCTCAGTTATCAAGATATCAATGAAACCGAAATACAGATATTGATTCGAATGTTGACAGACAAAATTTTCACGAAACTCCTACTCCCAAGCAAAACACATAACACAGCAAATAATTTCATTAAACACAACAAATTCAAGTGAATTAGCATATTTAATTTTTCCTGAATATAATATAAAATTATTGATCGACTCTGGATCGACCAAATCATTTATCGATCCACAAATCGCTAATAAATTTTTCCCAAATTCAATAAAACTAGATCCGTTTATCGTAACTACGGTATTTCAAAAATCATCACATAAATACAGCGCTGAAATTCCAGCATCTCAAATTTTTAATTTACCGAAAACAAAATATCTTAAATTCTACTTATTTAAATTCCATAATGTTTTTAATGGGCTTATTGGTCTTGACATTCTTAAACTTTTACAAACCAACATTAATTTTAAAGACTTAAAAATTGAACTGCTTTTTCACCGAACTCAAAACCCAGTAAATTCTATAAATGTTTTACCGAGATCACAGCAAGTCATCAAAGTTAGAACTTTCAATATGGCGAAATTATAATTCCTCACGTGAAAATTCACAATTGTGAAATTGCTGAGAGTTTAACAATGGCTTATAATGGCGAAGCCATAACAACTGTTTTGAATAGCACAACTGACAATATTGTATTAGACTTCTCTGACCCTATCCAAGTTTACAAATTCGATAGAAAAGAAATCGATAATATCGATCTAAATTTATTTACTCAAAAATCCACCCAGCACTAAGAATAAAACTGAGAAATCGCCTTTAGATTTATACAGCGAAAATTTGTCTAATGTAAGTGATCCACCTAACGACGACAACTCTATGCACGTTGAACCCGACCTTGACCGTCACCGTGAGATATATGAAAATGCTGACGTTCCGACAATCCATTCTAACTCGGAAAAATCATCCTATCTTCGGTATACAAATATTAGAAACTGCTGTTAATTACGGGGCAAATCAATTATTTATTAGCTCAGTATTACACTCACCAGCAAATCCTAAAACAAAAATTTTATTTGGAAAAAAGAAACGTATTATTTTACAACTATCACAAAATAATTTAGAAAAAGTTTTCTTGCCAATAAGTTTGGCAAGAAAACAAAATTAAAGCAGATTAACACTAAACACAAAACGGTTTCTACTGACGCTCAAGATGGATAACTTAAAACGTCATCTTAAAAAACCTTTTAAATTTAAACCCTAAATGACTGATAATATTTATTTTCAGCATACCCGTAATTCTGGGGATGGAAGATAAAATAGAAATCAAGAACTTAGTGAACAACCCCGGTATATATCCAGCAAAAATTGGAACGGCTAAGCTTACACAATATTATTATAAATTAATACATTTTTACGATCTTCAGCCTCTTATTGAAGAAATTGATAAGTTAAAGTCACAATCTGAAAATATAAAACTTCAAATTAGCAAACATACAACGTATTTAAACGATTCCTCAAATTACATAAAAGTCTTAAATTTTATCGAAAACAAATTAAGTGATAAATTATCTGAATTAGTTCCATATTCTCCAAAGAAAAAACGTGGACTAATAAATGGTTTGGGATCTATTTTCAAAGCTATCAGTGGTAATCTAGATGCTAGTAATGGTGAACGATATGAAAAACTAATATTACAACTTCAAAATAATCAAAATAAATTATCAGAAACAATTAAAATGCAAAATTCGCTATTTATAAAATTAATCGATAATTTTAACAATACATTAAAAAATATAATGCATAACGAAAAATTGCTTCAATCTAAATTAGAACAAATTGCATTTATAATAAATGGAACAGTTCACCGCGAAAATTCTATGTTTATAAAAGATGTTTTAAATCAAATTATAGAACTACATGTATAATATTATTTATTCTATTATACAAGATATTGAAAATTCAGTTACATTTGTTAGACTAGGGATAATGCACCCGAGTATAATTAAACCATATGAATTCTTGGAAGAACTGAAACGTATACAGAATGGTTCAAATACATTTTTATTACCTATCGAACTTGATCATGAAAATGTTTTGTTATTAGAAAAGTTAATTAAAATAGAAAGTTACACTTTTAAAAATAAAATTACATACATCTTAAATATACCCATTATAGCCCCTTCGGATTTTAACTTATTTCACATTTATTCAGTACCAATAACGGGAGAAAGTCAGTTTAAGGCTGTAATTCCAAAAAATAAATTTCTAATAATGAATAAATTGTACTACGGGTACTCGAGCGATTCCTGCACGAAGATCTTCCAAAAGCAATACCTATGCAATGAAGTGGAACTACAAGAAATCCAAGAAGCCAACCCCTGCACTGTCCAGTTTTTGAGCTTAAAAAACCTTTCCACTTGTCAAAAACACAATGTTCGTGTCAACCGGCCGATCATCAAACATATCGAAAATTCAAATCAGTGGATTTTTATAATCCCCGATGAAGAAAATATCAAGTTACACTGCCACCATTAAGAAGAAATTTTGAAAGTAAACGGAAGCCTTATAATTCATATTCCAGAGGGATGTAAACTATCAACTCCTAACCAAAGAGTTAAGAACACTGAGATATATACTAAACAAAGTTTTAACTAGCCTAAGATAAACACCCTAACCAGTTCTCCACAAGATATGGACCTAACAATATCACTGGAAAATGTCGAGTTAGACGAACTACAACATATAAGAGGAAAAATACTTCAAAATTAGTCGAAAATAGATAATACTGATTTTTCAACATCTCCTAGTATCTGGACAGTCGTTATCTATATATCAATAATCTTACTGATTAGTTGTTATTTAATCAGAAGATTCATATTAAGATGTGTCTACAAGAAGCCCGTACGTCAAGAAAATCCATTAGATGTTCAAATCCCACTGTAAACCTCGGATTTGAATCTACAGGGGGAGGAAATATATCAGAAGATTCCTATCCTTCAATAAGAAGAGAGACAGCCGTTCCCACCAAGACAATTAGGCTGACATATACTTTTTTACTTTTTATTCTAATTCATTTAATTCAGTAAGTTGATTGTCAACCATCATAGCATACACATGTATTAAAACCATTTTTTTGTAAATAAATAAATTTTTAAAAAAGCATTTCTGAGTGTTCGAGAGTTATTTATTGAAAACTCTCTATTGACACTTTTTAATTTACAAAAAATAGAAAAACTTTGATAATAATTATCTCTCTAAAAATATAATTAATGTAACGTCAACTTTAATTTCATTCAATTATAGGATTGTAAACAATTAATTAATTAATTACTAAAAAAAATTTTTAATGGCTTAAACATGAAAGTTCAATACGGTTATTTCAAAGTAAAATACGCAAATAGTAGCTATATAACCCTAACAAGAATTAGTTCTTGGTAGCTTTGTACTATGGTACTGATAAAAATTTTAATAGGAGGATGTGCATCCGTAGTTTTAATCCTTACGGCAGTTGCATGGTCTCTCTACAGAAAAAGACATATTTTTGAGTTTGCTAAAAATTTTAATAGCTTCAAGTTTTATCCGATACTCGGCAACTATTTGCAGCTTAGACATACAGGTTAGTGATAATTTTTAGAACAATACTTAATTAATAGTTTATCAGAAATTTCAGTTTGTAGTTGGTTAGATTTTTTAGAACTTTAAACACGTTCTACACTATGTAGTTCAGTCATTGGGGATCAAAAAAGGGGCCTGCGGAAAAAAATCCGGAAGTTTTGAAACTTTGCAGGTTTATAGGTTTTGGGGTCCCTAACTTAAAATCCATAAAATGCACATTTCCAGATTTGCCGCCGGCGCCGCCATCTTGCAAAGATGGCGCTCAAAATCGGTATTTTGTAAATATCTCGAAAACTATGCGTTTTTCTCAAAAGTTTGAAGAGAGTAAAATTAAAGAGAATAAAATTTTCAAACAAAAAAGGTTATATATTAAAAAGGTTATATGAAAATTGTCGCTAAAGTCAACCATTTAGGTACAAAATCCCTGGAATTTTTACAATTTTGCGTAAAGTATGATATACATAATATAGTCGATTTTCCGAAATCAAATGTCGATTAGTGTTCACTTAAACTAGTTTCAGTTTAGTTTCTTCAATTTTGTCATGAAACAGTGGCGTATCATTAATTCGCTCATTAATTTATGAATAATTGATTGTCGTGCTGGACAGCATTCATTGCGAACTTACCACCATCAGGTTCAGCATTCGTCTGGTTGTACCAAAGATGCCGAAGAATGGGGTTAGAAGAAAACAATAACAGGCATTACTCCAGCAGTAATAATGCCCTATTGGCATTTTTATCCTGTAAATGCAAAACCAACAACTATGGTAAAGCCTGCGGATGCAGAAAAGCAGGATTAAAATGTTCAATGATTTGTGCATATTGCAATGGGAAATCCTGTGACAACGTCACTGAAGTGTCACTCGACGAATCCGATGAAGAGGAGTTGCCTGTAGATATCCCTCTGGCGGCTGAAGATGAAGTGTTGAACGTATTGAGAGACCACCCTGATGAGTCCAGCACAGCAGACACCATCGACTTTGACATCAATAAGCCAGATCCGTCGGGCTTGTGCAGATAAGTTAAAGCTTTTAATTTATTTAGTGGAGTAGGCCTCCGGAGAGACCACGTTAAAATAAACCCGCCATGTACTTTATCTCTTGGGTGGTGTCGAAACAAGTACCTACACATTTTCAATAATTAAAATTAATTATTCATAAATTAATGAGCGAATTAATGATACGCCACTGTTTTATTACAAAATTGAAGAAACTAAACTAAAACTAGTTTTAGTGAACCCTAATCGACATTCGATTTCGGAAAATCGACTATACATATAATATATCATATATTTTACGTGAAATTGTAAAATTTCCAGGGATTTTGTGCCTAAACGGTTGACTTGAGCGAAAATTTTTATAAAACATTTTTTATAGGAAATTTTATTCTCTTTAATTTTGCTCTCCTCAAATTTTCGCGAAAAACGCATAGTTTTCGAGATATTCACAAAATACCGATTTTAGGCGCCGGCGGCAAGTCTGGGAATGTGCATTTTATGGATTTTAGTTAGGGACCCCAAAACCTATAAACCTGCAAAGTTGCAAAATTTCCGGACTTTTTTCCAAGCGAATATCCCCAATGACTTAACTAATGCCCGAAATGTTTGGTTGGTGAAATCTCGGGCGAAATACTTCTGGAAATATTTCGCAAAACATTTCGCGAAGCATTTATCGAAATACTTTCAGATGGAAACTCAAAGCTTTTTTTACGTTGCGGGGAATGTTGGCTTTTCTCGGTCCCAAACTCCGAAACAGATCAAAATCGACCGAGACAAGCCGTGATTGGTTGTTAGTTTTTTGAAATGAAACTTCTTTACGAGCGTTTAAGTTAAACTTCAAGGCCGTGACACACGAGCTGGCGTCAGGAACAGTGGTAACGGCAGTGTTGCCACAGCTATCCCATTCGGGGTAGATATATCCCTTTGTAAAACAATTAACTCGCTCTGGGTTACGATCTGTGCCATACGCGGCTAAGAAAATCACTATAATAAACTTGATACTCTACCTGTGTACTGTGTACCAATATTCTCTGGTTGTGTGCTAGGAAGTCAATTTTCATGGATATTTTCATCAATAGGTTTGTAGCATCTGAATAACGGTTTAGGTAAAGCATCTAGCTCATTTTCTAGCTCAGAATTAGAATTATTAGAGTTAGTAACTCGCATTTTCATTGGAGGACATAGGCATATTTATTTCAAACCAATAATTAACGAGAATATTCGTATAATTTAATAACATTACTGTAAATCGCTATAATTAATGGCCACAGCTGCCAGGTCTATCCAGTCGGATGATAGAATTAACTTTTTACAGTTGAGGGCTTGGGGGATTGGAACCAGGCATGTGGATAGAGGTGCCCTAATGGAGTCCTCAGACGGACAGACTAACGTCAATATTTGGATGAAAATTGGTGTCTAGGGGTTTTTTGACATGAGAAATTTGATTTAGATGTCAATATGACTCCTACTGGTAGAGGGCGCCACCTACATGTGTATTAACTGTTTTGAAGCGTAATAACTTTTGTCCCTATCTGTATAAAATTACCAAGGAAAAAATATACATCTCTGTGACTTTTTACGTAAAAAATATCTCTTTTTGAAATCGCTACGAGCAACCGTTCTCAAGATATTTAGAATGGAAATTGTCAATACATGTCATTATTGACGAAAAATAAATCTGTTGAGTAGATAGTTATTTCACTGAAATAAAAAATTTGGGAAATTTTTATTTTTTTAAATTAATCATAAATTTTTCTAATTTAATGATAAAACAGTTTCTGTTGAACTTTTGGCACAAAAACTTTGAAATTTATGATGTCAGTTTAATAACTATTTAGTCAACATGTTTAATTTATGTCAATGATGACAGGTATTGATAATTTCGATTCCAGATATCTCGTAAACCAATACTCGTAGCGATTTTTACCAAGAGACATTTTTTACGTAAAAAACGTCGTAAATGTATATTTTTTACTCAGTAGTTTTTTTTCATGTACGGACGAAAAGTTATTACTCTTCAAACCAGTTAAAAAATATGTAGGTAGCGCCCTCTACTAGTAGGAGTCATATTGACATCAAAATCAAATTTCTTATATCAAAAAACTTCCAGACACCAATTTTCATCTATATATTGACTTTACAAGAGAAATTATTTGGAAAAAATCGAAATAAAAATGAAACTTCTACACCCTGTATCTCCGAAACTAAGCATTTTAGGGCATACGTTTATACGAACTTTTTTAATTATTTTTATCTTCAGAATATGCTGCCGAAGTTTCCGGAATACAGTTCGGACCACCCTGTATATGTTGTGTACTGACGATGTCTATCTCTTACCCTGTTTTTTTTTTGTTGTTTTTAGATTTATACAATATGATGCGTAAAGCATATAATGAACTAAGACTTCCGTGCAACTTATGGCTAGGTCATACTTATAACCTTGTAACAGATGACGCGGATACTATAAAAGTTATACTTAACCATCCCGATAGTTTGGATAAAGCATCGGTTTATTGTTTAGTTAAGATGCTGTTTGAAGATTGCCTTCTCGTCCAAAATGGTAAAGTATTTTGCTCGATATTCATTTTTTAAATATACAGGACGATTCAATGAGCCGACTGGATTTCCTATTTGAGTTTCAACTCTTTTTATAAATTTATTTTACAAAATATACATGTTATGCCACACAAGAAATAAGGGATACGCAGCAGCGTAACAAAGATAATAAAATGACCGATGAAACGAAATTTTTTTGATTTATAATAAAGTTTCAATAATAGTTATTTATGATATAATAAGTGTTAAAAGTGGTATTTTATTTTGTGAGAAGGGAAGCTTGGGACACGGATTGTCCCATCCCTTCGAACAAAATAAAATCACTTTTAGCACACATATCATACACTATTTTTTCTACAAACAAGTTTATGCTCGTATATATCAAGGTATTATTACTTTTTACGTCAATAAATCAAATTAATTATGAAATTTATGGTTGCTATATGCTTGCTATGGTAAATTATCGCTTCAGTGTTAAAAGTAAATCACGTGACTTACTTTTAAAGTTAAAGCTAAAAGTAAATGACTCTTACCATCAGTGACATAATATGGACATAATATTACATTTCATTTTATAGGCACTGACAGCATGCGTTAAAAATTACATTTTTACTGACGTTTGTAGAATTTTAACATTAACATTGAAAATGTTTCTGTTATCCTATATAAGGGAGCCCAAATCGAATTAAAATGCTACATTTGCCACACCATGACGTCATATATACAAGGGTATAGGAAATCTCGGCGCAGCGGCGGCAGTCGGCCAACGCTCGCAAAAACCATTACATCGCTAATTGTTTATTGATATATCTTTATTAGTTTAAAAGCAAAAAATATGGGGTTTGCTTTGATACCTTGTCAAGACATAAGCGAAACTTTTAAATTGTTTCTTTTTTTCATTTAGGCCTTCGTTTTTCGTTAAATGAAAGTTATATTAAAAAAATCTATTTTAAACCAAATTTTCGCATGATTGAAATGATTATTCATGTTTAAAGTTTTTTGGTCATAAGCGCTAATGGAAATGTTTTTTTGTAAATAATTATAAAAATTGCTCCCTACGAAGACTTTATTGTGTACTGGATCAAAAATAAGTATTTGTTTTCTATACGGTGGTATTAATATATCGATTTTTGATGATAGTGCCCTTTTACCCGGTCTAATTTTGTACTACTTTCGGAATAAGGGTCCCCATATCATGTACTGTACTTCCATCCCTGAAAAATTCAGCTTGTGACATCGAAGTGAGAGGTAACGTGAAAATAAGCTTTAATCTACCTACATCATAGGTAGGTGTAGGTACTCTAGGTATATTCTACCTAGACAGTAGCTGAACTAGCTGACAGTAGTAATTAATTTGTTATAATAGAAGATTATTTTCTTTTATCTATGTTTGTTATCCGATAAGTAGTTGTCATCATATAAGTTTAATCATCTTATACCTCCTATAACGGTAGGTTTTGGATTTTTCCTGATTGGTTTGTTAAACAAAAATATACTGGGCATATAAATGTCTGTTACAGGTTAATTCGTTAAAGAAATATGTTACACACATATTATTTTAATAATAATAGTATAATAGTAATGGCTATATTATGTTATAACACATACATATGTATTGAATGTACTTATTTTAACCAATGCATTGTTTTGTTTTTTTAATCTCACAAATAAGAAATGTTTTATAGTTTATAAATATATTTTTTGTTTTTTTTGTTTTATAGTTTATAAAATATGTTGGAAAAATAATTAATCCATACATATATAAAAGCTCAAACGGTTTTTTTGTTGCATCCATCCCGCCGAAACCGCTTTACCAATCCTTGATGATTCTTTTTTTAAATGAAAGGTATATATGTGTAGATTTGTTATGAAGTATTTTTATAGTGCTTAATGGCTATTTCTTTGTGTAAAACAACTAAATACTAAAACATACCTGAAAAACACCTACACACAATACCTCCAGAAATAAATTATTTGTCATTGTCAGTGGTGTGTCAGTTAGATTATATATTACGTTTTTAGATATTTTAGAGTGAGTTGATGCCGCCAGCTTTAGATACATAAATATTAGCACAAAGGTTCGTTTAAACGACATTAGTGAATTAGCTACACAAAGCGATTTTAGGAAATTCATCCTCTTAGAGAGTAAAATTATCTCGGAACAGTTTGTTGTATGAAAATTCCTTACTATTTCGTCTAGAAGAATGAAATCCTACAAAAAGAATTAGAAGAAATTTTTGAAATTCATCAACCAAATGGGTAAAGTTAGTAAAAATTTATATAAAACTTGGTGACGTCTGGATTATACACATAAAAATTGGCACAAAGGTAAAGCGAATTTATGAAATTTATACCCTTAGGGAGTAAAATAGGGAATGAAAGTTTGCTGTACGAAAATGCAATACTATAACATTATAAACCAGACAGTATAAAATTTTATACAAGGGTTTATTTAGTGACATCATAAGGAAATATATCTTCCTCAATTATCCTTCAAAGAATAAAAAATAACCTATAAAGAGAGTATTAGTGCTCTTAATAAATAAAAAAAAGATGAAAAATAAAAAACATCTATATGTTCACTAGCTCTCTATAAAGAAGTAAAAAATCATTTAAATCAATGCATAAACGATTCGAGGTGTAACGCGAACGTAGTTGCGAGAAAAAGCTAGTAATTTATTAAATTATTTTATTTAACTCATTAATTTTCATTGAAAAGGAATTTTTGTAATTCGCCACTATATTAGTTAAAAACTAAGAAACTCATATCAAATTTAAGTTTTGCGATTTTGACTTATACTTTTTATAAAATCTGAACACATTTTAAAAGAAAAAAAGTTTTTGATAATATTTGTGTAGATTGACTACAAGTTGTATAACATAAATTTCTACGACCGGTCTACCTAGTAGTCTGCAGCATCGCCTTTGGTGCAAACGTGGGCCTGTTAATCTGTGAGGTGACGCACAACAGCCAAGAAAACAGAAGCGTGGCTAAGAATTTAGTAATTTAAAAAAGTCTTTTAGATACAGTAGTAGGTATTAAAAAAGTTTTGTGTTTAAATGGGTTTGCCTTTAACAGTTAAAAAATTATATCGTAAAGTGTAACTTTCCGTAAGAATTCTTTATCTGTCATTGATCATGATCTGTCATCATGTTAACCTGATGTTTTGTATGTTATTTTGTTTTTTTCGAGGTTTTTTTGCTTGCTTGTTTTACGGATAGGTGCGATCGCATAATTATTATTGATAATGTTTTATTTAAGGTTAACACTACTACTTTTTCAGTGAATCTTTAAATCTGTTGTTTTTTGTTAAGTTCGTTATTTAAACATATGAATGTAATACACTCATATTAACAGTAATCATATTTTTACGTTTTTATTCATCATTTTCAATGCCCCTCCGGTTGCATCTTTGTAAAGGACTGTGAATTTTTTTTATTTAAATCACATGATTAGAATTAAAAAAATCACTTGATTTAAATCATGCCAACCCTGATAGAAACTCTCGTCAATATATATATACAAAGAAGCGAAAGCAAAAGTAATGGTATATAAAACAACCCCAGAGTTTCCAACTGGCATAGGAGTACGACAAGGCTACGCGATATCCCAGCAACACTAGAAGAAATCTTCCGTTAAGTGGACTCGACCAACAAAGGATTAAAAATAGATGGAGAATATCTAAATCATCTAAGATTCGCTGCTGAAATAGTCCTAATTGCCAATAGTCCTGAAGAACTACAAGCACAAATTAACTAACTAAATACAGCCAGCAATAAAATAGGTCTCAAAATGAATTTAGCAAAAACTAAAGTAATGCACAACAAACTAGAAGCATTGATTGAAGGAAATAAGTTCTTTCAATCAACGCTAGAAGTATATAAATATTTGGGACAACTAATACACAGCTCGGGATCACTACTGCCAGAAATCAACAGAAGAATTAAGTTAGCATTGTGTACTTATGGAAGAAACTCAATCATATTCAAATCTAGTAAACAACTTTATCTATAGAAAAAAACAATCGACCAATCAATGTGTACTACCAGTCATGACCTATGCAAGCGAAACCTGGACACTAAAACAGCCTTTATAAGAAAACTGCAAGTCACACAACGCCCAGTGGAACAAAATGTGCTGGAAATAACCAAGAGAGACCGTAAAAGAATAGAGTGGATACGGCAAAAGACCTATGTAATAGATGTCATCCAAAGAGTCAAATCCCTCAAGTGGCAATGGGCAGGACACCTGGCAAGAAGGACGGACAACAGATGGACTACAAAAATTACAGCATGGTACCCACGAAGAATTAAAAGACCTAGAAAAATACCTAACCTGAGAGGGGACCATGAAGGAAATTAGCAAGGATAACTTTGGCCCGCACAGCCAACAATAGACAATAATGGGCCCAAGTACAAAAGGAGTATCTACTTATGTGAGAGAGGCTACAACATAACTGGAAATGACTGAATAAGTTGGAAATGATGATGATGATGATAATGATGACATGTTTAAAAAAAAAATAAAAATATATAAAAGGGGCTTCAAGTACATTTTTATACTGTGTTGTGGTTTTTTAAATTGTAAACTGAAAATGGACTTCCATGTACGATCTTATACATACCTAAAAATGGAGTGACTTTAATTCTCTATAGATCAATCAGTCTTAAGACTGTAATTCTTTTTTAAGCAGTAGCTATTATGTTTATTAATTTCAAATAATTATTACTTCACTTTTAGCTGATGCTTGGCGAGTGCGTCGCAAGTTTTTCTCGAAAAGTTTCAGCCAGCCTATCCTCAATTCTTATGTGCATTACTTCTACAGTAATAGCAATGTGTTGCTAGACGTTTTTCGCAATGGTTACGATGACCTTTTTAACGTGTTTAGACGCTATTCCTTCGATTCATTTTGCGGTAAGTGTTGGAAAAATTTGTTGTAAATTATTACATTTCAAAAATGCATATAAAGCAAGGAGTATTTGGTAGCAAAGGAGTATTTAGTAGTATTATAATTTGAGAATAATCGAGGTATTAGTTTTATTTACTGTTTGTTTTGACTCCTTTTCTTTAGAGTATATTGTTTATTTGTCTGAAGACACAACTTCTGATAGTGTCATGCTCTGCACAGAACTTAGCTGCGTACGCGACCTCTTGCATGTACTTGTGATAGAGTTGGGCTAAAACGTGATTTCACACACGTGTGCACTCACAGGTATACCTGTGACTGTGATTTTTTTATTCGCCGCGAAACTAACCTGAGACTGTGTAATCGTAAGTGTTATTTTTTATGTTAGGGTTATTCTGTGGCCATAATTTCGTAGTAAACCTGATAGTTATAAACCTAGTGATATTTTATTTACTGTTACTTCTTAACTTCGACTGCGATTTCACTATCGATCTTTCAGATATAGCAACTAGTTTGGGATGCCGACCGCGACGGAAGACCACCGTATTATACAAATTTTCACCCCCTTAAAAAATGAATTCCGAAAATCGTTTAAAGTATTCCATTAATCTACATACGGAGACTCTGTGCAAATTTTCCTATTCTTATGACAGTTTTTTTCAGAACGGTTACCTTTTATTTCACCCTCTTAGTGCTAAATTACGTTACATAAGGAACAAAAATTGTACAAATTTTCATTCCTTATTTCTTAGGGGATGAACGTCCAAAATTGGCTTCTGAGTAATAGGCTCGCTTTCGTCACTTACGGACCGTCTGTATAAAATTTCACACTTCTAGAACGAACTTTAAAAAAATTATAGAAAGTTTCACTCCCAGTTTTACCCCCTTAAGGATGCATTTCCGAAAATCGCTTCTAACTGTTTCGCTTAGCTGTAATCGCTTCTTCTTAAAAATTTCGTACTCCTAGGAAATATTTAAACTTTTTTGTATACAAATTTCACCTCTTATTTTACCCCCTTCAAGAGCAAATTTCCAAAAATCGCCTCTTAGTATTCAATTACGTCAACCAAGGAGCCTCCGTGAAAAATTTCATAGTCCTATAACAGATTTTAACAAATTTTTATGCAACCTTTCATCCTCTAGGGGTCGAATTTCCACAATAACCCTAAGGGGCCTTTGTCCAAAAATCCCTAGTGCTCTAGGGATTGTGCTCATTTACATCACTCAAGAAAGCTATGAGCCAAATTTCGTACATCTACATATTACGTACTTTCTTTCCAATTTGCGCAAAAGCGCCCTATCTGGTCACCCTGTACATCACGCGTGATTGCGGGGTGATTTGCTATTTTCAGCCTTACAGCGATTTAAGGAGTTTGGGATGACAGAACGTCAAACCACCTCGCATCTCGAGACAGTCGCGACTCACGACTGGCGACTTTTGCCGTATCAGTCACAGTCACGCTTTAATTCCAATTTTTTTCAAAGACGTTTTATTTTTATCTTGGTAACTACTGTGATCCGTGACTTTTATTTCACGGTAACAAAATTACAGGTAGCGATTTTTTACCCAACTGTAACTTGTGATGTGTGTTATCAGTTTTTGTCTGAAGTACACGGAACCTATATTCTGTCGTTGAACCCGAACAGTACTATTTGAGAGCTTTTACTAAGGAAATATACTCAAGGTGGTTTTCCATTACCTTTCTTAAGGTGGCGGCTTGCTGGGCGCTCTATTTAATAAACACATGTTTTTATTTAAAGCTACTGTACTAGCAGGGGGTAGCACTCAGTATGCTAGGGTTAGCACCAGACACACTTACCTCTTAGAGCGCCTTCACACACACCGGCAAAATCAGCGCCGGTACCAGCCCTGAAATGGATTGCAATATAAATAGATTAGCTCCTTTTACATATACTCCGATCCGGCAAAATAGTCGTGGACCGGCAAATACAATAGAATTAAATACAACATACAACTGTCGGAAGGTGTGCAAAGCCGTCTCCGGCACCGATTTTATCGGTGTGTGTGCAAGCGCTCTTATTAGCCACAGGCAGACACGATTAAAGTCTAAAATATAAATTTATCCCAATTATATAAAAAAAAAATAAAAAAAATAATAACATTTTGGAAAATTGATATTATCTTATTTTAGAAATAATTGTGGGTAAGAATTACAACTTACAAACGGAAACCAGCAATAAACTGTTAGAAGAAATGGATGTGTAAGTAGACAATTTTATTTTTAACATTATATTATATTTAACAACTTTGACAGTTAAAGTGTCGTAATAAGCCTTTATTCGCTAATATCGTTATATACCACTAGGGTTTCCGGACCCGGAGCTGTTTTTGGGGATTTCCCAATTCAATTCAATATTTTCAATTCAAATTCATTTTTGATTTCAATATTGTTGTTCAATAATGGCGCAGTTCATCAATCAGAAAGCAAGAGATGGTTTTCCAAAGTAAAGTCAATAATATTGAGATTTTTAATAAAAGTAATATTAAATTATTAAGTAATCAGTCATGAGAAAACTAACAGGAACACAATTAAAGAGAAAAATATAGTAGGTAACTTAGGAGTTGGTAAGGGGGTATGGGAGGGGGTTAACAATTTTAAAAAATCGTAACTACAAAATTACAGTAGCTAGCGAAACGCGGGTTTCAAATTAAGATTAGGAATAATATTTACAAAAAAATTTGTAATAACATCAAAATCAGTCAAAGTCGCAGTTTTTGAGATATTAACATATTTTAGTATGGGCGGCTATCCGTGCCTTCCGGCGCCAATTTTTTTTAAATTAATCACAAATTTTACTGCGAAAAAATGACGATGAAACAGTTTCTGTTGAACTTTTGGCACAAAAACATTTCACATTTATGATTTCAGTCTGATAACTATTTAGTCAACATGTTTAATTTATGTCAATAATGAGAGGTATTGACAACTTTGATTCCAAATATCTCGAGAACCATTACTCGTAGCAAATGTAATTTTTTTTACTCAGTAATTATTATATTATAAAAATATAACTGACTAAATATTCAAAAATATTTAGCCAGTTTATAGCAAAATATCAATGACCTCTAAATAAATTAATTTCGATGTCATTAGTAAATATAGCAATAGCAAACATTAGACCAGTGTTTTCAAGATCAAATTCGATTTTCAATCCAAATATAATTCATTTACGGCGTAGAAAGCCTTGTCTAGTAAATAAGAGTTCAATGCTTTGCCAAATGAAAAAAATGATGTTATGGATTTGATTTCAAATGGCAGGTGATTGTGCATTTTTTTCGAGTTGTATAATATTGAACTTTTAACTAACTCTGAGCGTGGGGTAGGTAGATAAAGATCTTGCTCCGCGTTCCTGAGTGGATAAGTGTGAGATGGCCTTTCTTGAGAAGCTGATACATGTTTACGTATTATTGTGGTATTAGGCAAACGGATTCAAATATAAATAAGGAAGGAAGAGTCAATATTCTTAATTCTTTAAAAAAGTCCCGGCAATGAGTTTTGCTGTTTAGTCCTAGTGAATATCGAACAGCTCTCTTCTGGAGCTTGAAAATGCCGTCAAATTGAGTCGCACAACACGTACCCCAGAATGGAAGGGCATCTTTATGGTAAAATTTGAGCGAGTTAGTAGCAACATTTCGAAACTGGTTCCGTTATGAATAAAAAGAGGCAGAGGGAAAATCCTGTAGTAAATGAAGCTATGGAGGTATTCGTATTGGGCCAAGTTGCCATGGATAGTACGCTGAGTACAAGAAAATTAGCCAATGAGGCCGGCGTGAATCGTACAAGTGTCCAAAGGATATTAAAAAAACACAAGTTCCACCCGTACAAAATTCAGTTGGTAACGAAGACGATTTTGATCGTCGCTTGCAATTTTGTGAAACTATGAGTGAACGACAGGCGAATGATAATAATTTCCTATTTAATGTGTGTTTTTCGGATGAGTGTACTTTCTTTTTGAACGGTGTAGTTAATCGGCACACTTTTGGTACTGGGCCGAGGACAATTCCAAGGTTTTTCACGAGATGCACACACAAAACCCTCAGAAATTGAACATGTGGACTGGTATTTTTGGAAATTCTATTGTGGATCAGTTTAACGATATTGAGAAGAACTTCAACGCACAAGTCACAGAACAGCTATCTAGCAACTACCGCACCTGATCGTTCAACCTTGTGGCAAGTGAAAAAATGCGTAAACATCTAGAAATAATAAGAAAAAAGAGAAAATTGGTCGAAGGAATTTATTCTTATCATTTACTGTGATAAATGTTTAAATAAACTTTTCAAATTTCAATCCTTCATATTTACTCAATGACTCGACCGATTTTCAAAAACGAGCGGGGAAATATAGAGAATAGAAAGCTCTTTTCATTGCGGTGCCACTTGACCCCCCTTCCCATTTGAAAAAAGTTGGGGGATGACACCTCCGCTTAGAGGGTTAAAGATTTTGCAATAATTTGTAGGGCAAAAGTTGTCCCCCTCACAAACAAAATTGACGTATTTTTCGATTTTTTGAAGAAAAAAATACCCTAGCCTTTATGCCTTGCGGAACATTTTGATGGGCCACTCTATATGAAGACTGATTATACATACAGGGTGTCCCACTGAAGATGGATACAAGCCAATATCTTGATTGTTTGTTAAGCGATCTTTTTCATTTTTGGCAGGAGGCTGTATGGCTATAAGATGTACATTTTGCCCAGGGTAAGAAATGCGATACCTCATAGACGTACGTTTTAATGGGGTTTGATATTTTTCGGGTCAAGAGTAAACTACCCTTATATATAGGACAGTATTTATTTCAAATCTGATAAATTATATTGAATCCTCCTTACCTAAGATACTTAAGTTCAAATTTTTATAAATATTGATACAGGGTGTGTCATTAAAATAAGACATTTTTATTTTTATTATTATTTTTTTAAGTACTTACGACGTCACTGGATAAACAACTGGTTTATTATCAATAACCAATTATATCCAATTATCAATTAATAATCGATTTAAATTTTCAGATAGACCATAATAATTAAGATACGATACAAAAAACTAAATATTTTCAATTTATTTTGTTTACTTTTTTTACATTTTTTTTAATTTTATTAATTTTAACAATGTGACAGTGACATATCAACAATTTCGACTCGTGACCTAAAAATAATATTATTTTGTTTCCATGGCCATCTTAGTTTTTAAATTATACTCTGTTCCTGATTGTTGCATTTAAACATGCATTAGAAATTATGGCGGTTTCGTCGAAGATGTTGACTTTTAGTTCGTTATAGTTTTATAAATCTTTGTAAGGAGCATATTTTTCAAAGGTATTAGTGATTGTTTTAAATATCTAACTATTTAGATTTTTTAAAATATTCCTCAATAAAACGAATAAAAATCATATTTCAGATCCCATTGAAAACTGGGTTTTTAAATTATTTTGTAACTCATTTTATTCATTTGTACACAATAAACAAAAACAAACTTAAAAAACAATTATTGTTTAAAGTAAACAAAATAAATTGAAAATATTTACTTTTTTTGTATCGTATCTTAATTATTATGGAAGCTATCTGAAAATTTAAATCGATTATTAATGATTGATAATTGGATATAATTGGTTATTGATAATAAACCAGTTGTTTATCCAGTGGTGTCGTAAGTACTTAAAAAAAAATAATAAAAATAAACATGTCTTATTTTAGTGGCATACCCTGTATCAATATTTATAAAAATTAGAACTTAAGTATCTTAGGTAAGGAGGATTCAATATAATTTATGAGATTTGAAATAAATACTGTCCTAAGGGTAGTTACTCGTGACTCGAAAAATATCAAACCCCATTAAAACGTACGTGTATGAGGTATTATATTTCTTACCCTGGACAAAATGTACGTCTTATAGCCATACAGCCTCCTGCCAAAAATGAAAAAGATCGCTCAACAAACAACCAAGATATTGGCTTGTATCCATCTTAAGTGGGACACCCTGTATATCTATAATAATAAAAATATGCAAAACATGGATTGCTGATTTTTAGGATTCAGAAGTATATGGGAGATAATTTTACAATAGGAAGTTCGTTCGGATATATATTTCAATTGAAGGAATTTGTAGCTAATGGATGGAGTGTGATCTTATTGCTCAATAAAATAAAGTCATTTCTATCTAACGTACGTAGTTATTTCAAATATAATCGATCAATCAACTAAATACGTTTTTTAGATGGTGGATTTTAGGGAGACAGAACTAAAGAAGTGTCCAGGTATTTTATTTTATTATAAATATACATTATAAATTTATTTATACCGGGTTAGTCTGGATCTTGTAAATATCTGAAAGACCGGTAATATTTGAAATTTTGGATATGGGGTAGGTATATCGATATTCGCTGATTCAAAAGTCATATCTGCAGTCTTGCCAGACCTATCGTTTTTCCAATTACAATGCATATTTTTGTTTTTTTGCTTTATTACAATTTTAAATTCTAACTGATAGCTTTATATAACTTTATTATCTATACAGGGTGGTCCGAACTGTATTCCGGAAACTTCGGCAACATATTCTGCAGATAAAAATAAGTAAAAAAGTTCGTATAAATGTATGTCCTAAAATGCTTAGTTCGGAGATACAGGGTGTAGAACTTTCATTTTTATTTCGATTTTTTCCAAATAATTTCTGAAGTAACGTCAATATTCGGATGAAAATTGGTGTGAGTTTTTTGACATGAGAAATTTGATTTTGATGTCAATATGACTCCTAGTAGTGACTACTAGTAGAGGGCGCCACCTACATATTTTTTAACTGGTTTGAAGAGTAATAACTTTTCGTCTGTACCTGTATAAAACCGCTGAGTAAAAAAATATACATTTACGACGTCTTTTACGCGAAAAAGGTCTCTTGGTAAAGACCGCTACGAGTAATGGTTTTCGAGATATTTAGAATAGAAATTATCAATATATGTCATCACTGACATAAATTAAATATGTTGACTAAATAGTTATTAGACTCAAATCATAAATTTGAATTGTTTCTGTGCCAAATGTTCAACAGAAACTGTTTTATCATCTTTTTTTGCAGAAAAATTTATGATTAATTAAAAAAAATAAAAATTTCCCAAATTTATTATTTCAGTGAAATAACTATCTACTCAACGTGATTATTTTTCGTCAATAATGACATGTATTTACTATTTCCATTCTAAACATCTTAAGAACGGTTGTTCGTAGCGATTTTTACAAAGAGATATTTTTTACGTCAAAAATCATAGAGATGTATATTTTTTTACTCGGTAGTTTTATAGGTACGGACAAAAAGTTATTACGGTTCCAAACAGTTAAAACACACGTAGGTGGCGCCCTCTACTAGTAGGAGTCATATTGACATCAAAATCAAATTTCTCATGTCAAAAAACTCCCAGACACCAATTTTCATCCAAATATTGACGTTATTTCAGAAATTATTTAGAAAAAATCGAAATAAAAATGAAACTTCTACACCCTGTATTTCTGAAACTCTGCATTTTAGGATATACATTTATATGAACTTTTTTACTTCTTTTAACTGCAGAATATACTGCCGAAGTTTCCGGAATACAGTTCGGACCACCCTGTATCTAATATCTATACCTAGCTGCTTAAAAGTTGCTAAAAAATAATTAAATATACTAAGCTTTAAAATATTTGCTCTAACTATTTTGGTCAAGCAAGAAAAACTGCATCTATTTTTAAATTAAAACTGAACAGGTATCAACGGAAAACCAGATTAAATGTCAATATACCTTAAGTTTTCAACCTATATGATTTTTTATTTTCAAATGTAATTTGTTGTGCTATCTACATTACTGCATTGTAGTACCTATGGTTAGTGTCCCGTAATGCATTTTGTAATCTAAAACTTGTTTGAATTAGGTAAAAGCCAAAGTAAAAGCCCTAATGCGTAGAAAATATAATTATTATATAATTATTATATATATATATATATATATATATATATATATATATATATATATATATATATATATATATATATATATATATATATATATATATATATATATATATATATATATATATATATATATATATATATATATATATATATATATATATATATATATATATATATATATATATATATATATATATATATATATATATATATATATATATATATATATATATATATATATATATATATATATATATATATATATATATATATATATATATATATATATATATATATATATATATATATATATATATATATATATATATATATATATATATATATATATATATATATATATTATATATATATATATATATATATATATATATATATATATAATATTATAAAATCATAGGTTGTCAACTTAAGGTATGTTAGCGTTTGTCTGGTCTTGCAGTGTTCAGCTTCAATTTAAAAATAGATGCAGTTTTTCTCAAATTATTTAAAATCGTCTTGTCCAAAATTGATCAAATTTGGCGAGTGTATTCAGCATACTCAGACCTTTAAAACCGACTTCGCTGAAAAATCAATAGGGAAGCCAATATTAAGACAGTTCAAGATGTGCATGGAATTTCCTGTTTCCAACGCCCATGCACCACCCGGTATAATATTGCTATCACCAGCTCTGATAAGTAACATTCGATGGCGCACAACTTTTGACACTCTCATATTTTGTTGCACCCAAAAATACGAACACATTTATTGCTTTTACCGAATGGCAATATCGAGTGTTACTTACCTATATGCTAAAAAATTATTAATGCCGATATTTTTTATATACAAAAGTGGCTCACCCCTATAACTTTTTTATTCTTTCAAATAAAAACAACGAGATTTGGAAAAAAATTGATTGACTTTATTCCAGAGAAAATGACACTTTGAATAGAATGATATATCATATGTCAACTTTTGACATTTTCGCTTAAAAGAAAATCGTATTTTAAATTTCAATCTAGAGTGCCATGGCTGTGTTAAAAACACTAAGTTTTAATCAAGAAGCCTTGGAAAAATAAATTTGATCGTCTAATGTTTTTTGTGTACTTAACAAAAATCACAAATCGTATTTTTAAAAAAAGTACAAATCGTATTTTTAATAATATCTCATTTTTTTTCAAATGGCACAAGGGTCCCAAGTAGCATTTGGACGTTATCTAACGTCGGGTATACGTCGCGTTCAATAAACCCGACGTCGGGTACCAACGTCGGTTCGACCGCCTGACGACCCTTATTTGCACCTAAATGGGGAATACAGATTCGGGTCGCCTCGACGTCGGTATCTGACCTAATAGGGAATGTTATTTTACTAATTACCAACGTCATATAACGTTGGATTTTAGTCACTTAAAATTCGTCGCTAAGCACTTACGTTACGTTTGGTTTCATATTCGCTACCAAGAATACACAAAAACCTAACCAAACGACCTAATTACAAATGGATTCATAATCACACCTCGAATATAACTATAAGTGCCTATCTAATTTCATATTATAATAATTCTGAATCATTAATCCAGACATCAGTTTTGTCAACGGAAGTCACTTTCTTGATATATCTGATTAAAATACTCTGGAAAACAACGAGCGCCTTCAAAATTAGGTAGATTTATGAAATAAAAATATCTATAAAAAAGTAACTCGCAAAATATTTTTTTTTATTTTCTAGCTGGTTTAATCATAAAACTGCACTGTGGTTCCCCCCAAACTCAACCTTATCAATATTATTCTACTAGAAATCGAAATGTGAATATAAATTTTAAAAACAAAAAACGATTTTAAAATGGCTGACAATCGGATACGTGTTAAGAATGGCGGATTTCTGTGTCCGACTTAATATGAACTACCAATATACCAATTCCGACCGGGTCTCCAACATTAGTCGTCTCCAGAGGTCGTCTCACACGACCGAAGTCATCAAACCGGACGACCGGCAATCGTATTATGACGTATATAATTCCAACGTACGCCACGTAACCTCACTTTGCGTTTTGCGTATCAGTGATTTGTGGATTTGTGCAACTATATTTTAGTTTTTGTTTTCTTGTTAAAAAAAATGGGCAGCCACTTTTTTAAGCCTAACCTCACATGTCGGAGGAGGATGGGGTCTGCTGATATCCTAAGCTAAAAAATGAAATTAAGATGCTCCAGTGTAATGCAGCATCTCTTCCGGATAAAAAGCATTTACGGGTGGAGGCAAGACATCACTACTACTATTATTATTTTGCAAAAGCCTCGACCTCTTTCTGTAAAATGTAGATGAATGTCTAAATGCCTTTTTAGTGTTTTTTTTAGGCATAATAAAAAATTTAAGTTTGTTTACAAAACTTTTTATTAGGTTATGTTCATGATGTTCATTAGGTCGCAAATGCTACTTAATGGGTTGTATTTACGGACATAAATAGAAATACGTAAATTAGGTTATATATATGAACATAAAATACAACAAAATACAAAATATACAAAAAATTGGACGTTAGTTTAGGGATTATCAGTGAGACGTATCCTATTCGGACAACGGGTAGACGTCGGGCTAGTTCAAGTATATGTACGTCGTGCAAGCCAACGTGGGAACGACGTTGGGAAATTAATAAAAATGGTACGTTGTTATTTTGTACGTCGACAGATCGTTGGGTTTACCGACTCGGATCCAACGACGTCGCTTTTAATGGGAAAGCGACGTCACAGGTCGTATCACGAGACCTTAATTTGCACAAAGTCTGACGTCGCTTCAGGTCAGATTTAGTTTGAAGTCAGATAGATGCTACTTGGGATGGCTCATTAGCATATTTGAAAAAAGCATTTTTTACGAATAATTTGATACCACACACTTGGTATTTAGAGTCAAATTGTCGTTATGAACCGCATGTGACAGTTTGAAATAAACCATATGCCTAAATGTCAAAAGTTGACATATGATATGTCATTCAGACAGAGTGTCATTTTCTATCAAATAATGTAAAAAAATACCGAGAGTGCCATTTAAAAATCAAAAGTTGTCATCATTTCCGGTGAAAAAGGAAGTGACTGAAAATAATTGAATACGTCATTCAATCTTAATTTATGTCATATACTAACATAGCAAATCTCGTTTTTTTATTTGAAAAAAGAAAAAAAGTTATAGGGATGAGACATTTTGAGAAGCTCCCGTTATATAAAAATATCCGCATTAATAATTTTTTCTGCTTATGTCTGTTTGTATATTTTGGCACTTTCGTTTTGTATGTACAGGGTGTCCCACTAAGAATAGCTCTCGGCTGTATCTCGGCAAGTATTAGCCGTAGCGGCTGCGGAAAAAAATATTTATAACTAAAGAGGCTATGGGAAATTGCTGGAAATTATTTTCAAGTTTGTAGAACGACCGCTAGGGGGCGCAACTGCAACAAAAAATAAGAAAATGAAGTTTTTAGACAATTTTGCCTAGATAACGTGTACTATAAGTAACATTCTTCGGCTTCATAATCTTCAGTAAATTTTAAATATTTTCTGTTAGAGCCATTTTTCCTTATCTACCAAAATAAAGTGGTGGGGGGAGGTTAGATCTGTTTTTATTTGAATATTAATAACTCTGGACTGGATGATCGGAATCCAACAAGCGAGGGCAAGAAGCGAGCGTTTCTTACTCTATATTATACCGTATAAACAGTAATAATAAGCTTTTGAACGTAGACACTAGGGGGCGTTATCTTTAACAAACATTGCGCGTTTTTTCAAAAAAATTAAATACAATACTATATGTAATTTTAGCTGATAGTAAAGAGTAGTAAAAGCTTAAAAAGTCAGTGAAAACTGCAATCTTCATATCTCCTTTCAAACCGAAGATATTAGCAGAATTATAATAAATACTCGTACCAAAAAATAAGCCCTTAATAACCTTACTTTTATAACACGGTATCAGTAGCCCTCTTGATTATGCCCATTCTAACCTAAAAATAATATAGTTAGTTTATTTTAAAATCGACGATATACCAGAATATCATAATACCAGATGTATTAATATCTAATAATTAAGATATTAATAATACTGAACAAGAAACGATGATTCAGTGAAGTCATGGTAGGCTTTGGAAAAAGTTGCTTCTGACATAATATATAAACGTGAAATTGTTATTAGATCAACATTTTGATAGTCTTAGCAGCGTTTTATATCATTTGATTGTTTTTTCAAGATGCCAACAACTTCAACTACTTCAAATAATAAAGGCATTTTGAAAAAGCATTTAAAAGATAAAAAAACGCTGCTAAGACTATCAAAATGTTGATCTAATAACAATTTGACGTTTATACTATTATGTCAAAAGCAACTTTTTTCCAAAGCCTACCATGACTTCACTGAATCATCGTTTCTTGTTCACTATTATTAATATCTTAATTATTAGATATTAATACATCTGGTATTATGATATTCTGGTATATCGTCGATTTTAAAATAAACTGTTTCTATCTTATTTTTAGGTTAGAATGGGCATAATCAAGAGGGCTACTGATACCGTGTAGTAAAAATAAGGTAATTAAGGGCTTATTTTTTGGTATTTATTATAATTTTGCTAATATCTTCGGTTTGAAAGAAGATATCAATTTCGCTGACTTTTTAAGCTTTTACTACTCTTTACTATCAGCTAAAATAACACATACTATCGTCACAAATTACCTATAACAGATGCGAAAGAACACCGAATTACGCGTTCAGGTTTCTGTGACCTTCAGAAAGAGTTCATAGACAATCCGCATCAATTTATAGTTTGGGTTATTATTTGTTTGGGTGAAAATAATCTGCACCAATATGTTATCGAGGCATACAAAAAGGTCCACAGACTTCGAGACATACGAAAAATCAAGTCCATTTAGTGTGTGTCGCAATTTTCACACCTTAAAAAATTAGTTTTTTATAGCTATAGCAACTGCAGCGACTATGAAAAAAGCTGTGTGATTTTCATTCAAAATAAGGGCACCTGTAATTCATTTGAGAATGTTATAAATCGCTAAAAGAGGTTTCAAATCCCTTGGATTTCTATTAATATTAAATAAATTTTATTAAAAATTGAACTAAAATTGTTAATATCATTAAAAACAATTCAAATTCAAAAATTGTATCAGTCAAATTCCCTCATTTAAGGTGAATATTAAAGTAAATATAAATACAGCCCATTCTAAGCTCTACTTATCTTTAAGAAAAATTTAAATCATTGTTGCAATTGGGCCTTAATGCCATTTCGAATGAACAATAGTATTAATAATGTACATTATAATAATAATAAATTTTATATCATAGTGTGTATTAAAACTACCAAAACACTTTTAAATTGGTATATATTAACAACTTTTGTTTTTTAATCCAAAAAAAGTTACCAATTTTCTCAATCAAAATATTTGTGGTCCTGAAAAGGACATTCGTTTTCCCATGTTTGTCAAGGTAGGTAATGGGTAAACAGTAAAAAAACAGGATAATGAAATTTAAAAAGTTACAAAAATTGTTCAAAAGTGCTTCCCTCTTGCATTAAACAATAACCCAAACGATCATAAAATCCCCTCCTCACATTGGATGACATATCAGAGGTGACAGTGTCAAAGGCATTAAATATTTTCTGCCTTAACTGCTCCAAGTTTTGAATTTCTTCATGGCCGTAAATTTTAGATTTTATGTACCCCCATAAAAAGAAATCATTCACCGAGAAGTCAGGTGAAATTAAATGTGTCTGTCTAAACTGTCATTTTTGAAAACTTGCCAAAATTTGGACACAAGCTAAATGGACTTGATTTTCCTATGTCTCGAAGTCTGTGGACTTTTCTGTATAATCTCACAGTAATTTAATAGATTGCTCGTCATATTATATCAGCTCGTAGGAGATTAGGAAAAAAAAAGATATTTATAGTATAAAAAATTAATTTATTTAACAAAATTTAATTAAAGATGTGACAAAATAGTTACATTTCTATTGGTTCTATCGGAGTTTTTTCGACTTATATAAATCTTTATTTTTTGTAAACTTTAATGCATAAAATATTTTCAATCTAATAAATAATTTAATGATGTAAATAAGAGGAAATTTCTCACATGAGTGGTCAAATTCTATAGTTTTCATTATATCAAACAGCCTCTGAATGTTTTCTTTAGTGCAAAACTCATCAAAATTTAATATAAATAATTTTTCCAGCCTGTAAATAAAATGAACAAATTTTTCCACTTTCATGATCAAAGGCTTTTAAATGGGTAAATAATTTCGAGTTATCCAGAGATTCGGATTCTTTTGCAAATTTTAGACAAATATCACATTGATGTATTTGAAGACCCTTTTAATGATGTAGTCAAACATAATTAAAGGCATTTTGAGTTGAAAACATTTCTCAGAGGCTGTTTGATATAATGAAAACTATAAAATTTGACCACCCATGTGAGAAATTTCCTCTTATTTACATCATTAAATGATTTATTAGATTGAAAATATTTGATGTATTAAAGTTTACAAATAAAGATTTATATAGTCGAAAAAAGTCCGATAGAACCAATAGAAAGGTAACTATTTTGTCACATTTTTTATTAAATTTTGTTAAATAAATTAATTTTTTATACTATAAATATCTTTTTTTTCCTTATAAATAAACACATTTGCATCCCATTTTAAATAAGATTACAAATTACCAAAACTTAGAAATAACAGTTCAAAAGTTCAACAAAAATCCTACACGCGTTTTTAAAAAGAAACATATAACCAGGCACTATGTCATTCCAGCAAGCGAATACGACACAGCATAGGTTTCCGGACTAAACGACTGGTGTATTTACACCACTCAATAGGCGTGTCGGGTTTGCCGAGCGGTTTCCGATGCAGTCGCTTTCTTTCGCATCTGTTATAGGTAATTTGTGCTATCGTATTTAATTTTTTTGAAATAAAACGCGCTATGTTTGTTAAATTGTAAGAAAGCGCCTCCTAGCGTCTACGTTCAAAACCTTATTCTTATTATTTTTATGGTATAATATAGAGTAAGAAACGCTCTTTTAAACGAGCCCTCGTTTGTTGGAGTCTGATCATCCAGTCCGGAGTTATCAACATTTAAATAAAGATAAATCTAACCTTCCCCCACCACTTTATTTTAACAGATAGGGGAAAATGGTTCTAACAAAAAAAATCCAAAATTTACTGAAGATTATGAAGCTATTATTTATAGTACCCATTATCTAGGCAAAATTCTGTAAAAAATCTATTTTCTTATTTTCCATAGCAGTTGCGCCACTTAGCGGCCGTTTAACAAACTTGAAAATAATTTCCAGCACTTTCTCATAGCCCCTTTAGTTATAAATATTTTTTTCCGTAAGCCCTACGGCTAATACTTTCCGAGATAAGCCGAGAGCTATTCTTAGTGGGACATCCGGTACAGTAAGATTTGTCTGTTTTTATTATTTGTCTGCGCTTTATCCCATTTGTTTCAGTTATAGATTCCAAGTTATCATTTCTGGATGCCATGTTAACCCATAGTGACCTCTTTCTGCCAAGCGTTACATGCAAAGAATTGAATATTTTTGTATTAGCCGTAAGTAAAATTTGTAAAAATTTGAGAATTTATTGAAAATCAACTTAAACCGCAGATAATCATCTACTGATCTGTTGGTTCATTGTTTTCAATACGGTTCGTTTAAGTCGCAAACTGTTCCTTCTAGCAATTCAGAGGTTCTTAAACTGTTCTATCTTTCGCAAGCTATGTAGCAAGTGGGCTAGGAGATCCACTTGCTACATTTTTACCATATCCTCAAAACTCGTAAAAAATGTGAAGATTAGTTCAGTTAATGGAAATTTGCGTGATGCCGTTGATCTCTGGGGATCAGCCACTTTGGGAATCACTGACAGGTTTAAATGAATATTAGATATAAATGCTATGTTATAGGTACTTAGTTACCATGATTAGATATTAGTGGGGCCTCAAACTTTAAAAAAATATACACAATTTTTCAGATATTTTAAGAACCGTTATTCCGATTTTAATGAGATTTTGGGTGTCTATATCTTGTTAAGTGTTTTAACATTTGGCTTTTACAAAAATCAAGAAAAAGTACGGGAAGGGTGAAAACTACCCCCACCTCTACATAAATTTTAGTATAAATATTTTCCAACTCTAAACTAAAATTCGAAGGTTCCGACAACATTTTTTGTCTCTCGTAAAAAAATTTCCACAGCTGACTTCCAAAAAATGTCTTTTGTCATATGAAGGTATGGAGGAGTATAAAATCTATTATGCTCTAATGATCTAGTTGGCGAAAATATGGAATTTTACGTTAGTATCACAAATTATATTTGACAATAAGCTTCATAAAACGGTTAAATTTTTTTTCTAAATTAATTAACGTTCGTGTTTATTTTTGATTGATGCCTCTATATAGCGGACAAACGAAGAACTTTTGTATTAAGTTAAATTATATGCAATTTTGATTCAAACAATACGTAGGTACCTAGTTGTTCTATGTGTACGGAATATTGGAGCTCTCTGTATATTTAGTAGGTCTGCTATAGATAAATAAATACTCAAAAAAAAATTCTCAAAAACTATGATGTGATGTGGTGTTTTTTATAAAAGACAAAAAATATAAGAAATATACTAGAGGCGCCATTTTACGAAAAGAAAATCTGTCGTCGGTTGAGTTGGACAATATTTATACTAAAATTTATTTATGTATAGGGGTAGTTTTCACCCTTCCCGTACTTGTACTTGATTTTTATGAAAGCCAAATGTTAAAGCACTTAGCAAAACATATAGACACCCAAATCTCATTCAAATCGGAATAATGGTTCTTAAATATATCCGAATAAAATATAACGGACAAACGAAGCACTTTTGTATAGAGCTAAATTATGTTCAATGAACTTATTTTGATTCCAAAAATACGTAGTTCTATGTCTACGGAATATTGGGACACCCTGTATAACTGATAATTTAAATTTTAGGCCACCGACACTACCGGAACTGCATTGACTTTTACTTTTACATTATTGGGAATGTATCCAGAAATTCAAGTAAGTTACGAAAATAAGGAATATTAATGATAGGTATTTAATATCCATTATAATTTATTATTAAGGAAAAAGTGTATGAAGAAGTAATAACAGAGATTGGTAGAAATACACCTATTGAAACGGATCATTTACCAAAACTGAAATTTACTGAAAGAGTTTTACTGGAAAGTATGCGAATACTTCCGCCTGTTCCGGTAGTGGGTAGATATATTACTAAGGACATTAAAGTCGGTGAGTATTATACAGAGTGATTCATGATCAATTGTAGGTTAGAGTTTAACGGAGAATGACTGATTATTTCGAAAATATGGCTTACAGCGCTTTCAGATGGAGCGGAGCGTCAGAGCGGACGGTCCGCGCGGAGCATCCGTCGTGTTTTTTCAAGATAGCCATCGACGAACTCATCCGGACGGAGGATATGCGACCCATGTGAAATTGTTCATTTAAACTCATGGAACTCGCGGACGGTCCGCGCGGACGCTCCGCTCCATCTGAAAGCGCTGTTAAAATTTAAATTATTCTTTAGCGTAGCGGTATTGTCGCTTTATATGAATGTAGAATGTCTAGGAGGGGGTTAATCACCGCGACCTTATAGATCTATTATATGTGTTCCCCTTTCTTGATTATGTGTTCTCCTTTCTATCACTTATAACGGTTTATAACTCATCATACAGTCTTAGGGCTTTGACAAAAGCCAGTATCTGAGACGGCTCCACAGAGGCCTGCTCTCCATTTTCGACGTATCAAAGTTCATGGCACGAACGGTTGTCGTCTCGGCGCACTCAGTGCTCAAGTGGCACAAATGTGCTTAAAATGGTTATATAGAGTGTTATATAACAATTTATGATAAATATGTACTATTTTTTAAGTGCTTTATAAACCCTAATACGACAGTTATAAACACGAAATAGGCGCAGGATTATAAAACAATATACTTATTTAGAAGTGCGTTAAAAACTCTCCTATAACGCTTACAAAATAATATTGAGTACATTACAAAAAAACTGTTTTATAAAAGATTTATAAATATTTTAAAAATAACATATTTGTCTCAGTTAAAATATTTTTGTAGCATGCATCTGCATTTTTGTTTTTTAGTTATCAAGAATAAAATTATAATATCGTGTATTTATAGTGACCAAGAAAAAACTGATTTTAAAATGGCAAAGTACACATATATTCTATTTAAATGACAGATATCGCTAATTTAAAGAAAGATGTAAATTGTATAAAAAGTATTTCGCCTAAAACGCTCCAGGAGTCAAATTTTCCTGCGGAGCTAATTTTACTGATATCGTATATCCATATTTGTGGAAATATTTTAAGGCGCTTTCATTTTAATAAGATTTTGCAGTTATAATAAATATTTAACTTTTAGGAAATTACTGTAAAATTACCTGTAAACTGGAAAATCGACATTGTCCAATATCCGATATTATTGGAAACTAATTCGTTTCTTATAAATACGTTTGAAATGGCCGACATACAGTCGTCCAAATTCAACATAAAATCATGGCGTCGACTAACAAAACATTTTTGTTGCTCACGGAGCAGTTATACAATTAACTTGTTTTACAATGATGCTATACGGAACATATTTGTTTTATTACTCAAAATAATGTCTGCAAAATACAATTAAATTCTCTATAGTCTATATATTCCGGTGCTGTCACATTTACAACAATAAAAATATAGACGTGTGTTTTTAAATTCGCTAGTAGGTTCATTAATACTTACCAACCAAACCAAACACAAATTTGACCATTAATTATACTTGCAGACTTTATTTTTATTCTGGCAACATAGGATGACTTTCTTTCCTTCACCTTTTAGATACGAACGCCACAGAATAATAACGTAGAAATGGGCCTCACCACTATGTAGTCGAACCGGGTTTTAATATAGCAATATTGTTGCACTTCACGTGTTATCCCGCTATTTCAAAACCTGATTATTTTTTATTCATTTTGCTTATGTTATTTATTTTTTGTTAGCTACACTTAGACACAAATATGTTTATTATCAAAAATAAAATCTTCAAGTTAGAAATACTTATCAGACATTTTAAGTTTTAGAGATAAAATCACAATTTTAAAATATATTTTAAACTCTGACCACAACCAAAGTTTGAGGTTAGTGCTATAGTATGTTTAATATAGTAAGGTTTCCTAAATAATTCCTGGTATTTGGGGAAACACTTTTGTTTCTTAATCGCTTTATAAGAATTTTAATTCGTTTCTTTAACAGCAATTATAAAATTGTTTTCTTAGAGTAGCGGTCGCGACTAAATTATTACGAAGACCAAATTGTTTTATAAATCAGTCGTAAAAACAGCTATAAAACATGTCGATAATGTTTTAATAAACTAAAATGACTATTTTTATAACTGTTTTGTAAATATTTTATAATTGTTTTAAATTATATTATAAATCAATTATAAAATATATCTATCTAGCTCAAGCATAAATAGTTGTATAAAATTTGTTATATAAACGTCCCTGAGCATATTAACGAATATATTTATAAAAATGTTTTATAAATTAGTCGCCAAAACATCTATATAACAAAATAATAAAACACATTTGTCTCTATGATAAAGTTGTGTTCTTTGCGTTTATTATATAACAATTCAGTGTATGAGATCGCTTTAATAAATCGTATATAAAACACTTCACTCTCATAATAATTTATTGTGTTACTTGGGTGATAAGGTGTTCTGGTGTCTCTACAGAAGTTGCATTCGCCGTTGTTTCACGGCTTCAATCTACTGAGGTGTTCGTTGAGAAGACAATGTCTTGTTAGGAACTCCGTGACAATCCGAAGATTGTCCTTACTTAAATCAAGGAAAATCTTTGATTTTTCTCGGTCGTAGTTCTGAACTTTTTCGAGTATTTTAGTTGGAGGATTCCCATTCCAGGTTACGGTTGGAGTCCTCCAAGTTCTTCAGTTCCGCTTTAAGCTTGTTTCCACTTGGAAAGCAGAAGGGTTCTGGTCCAGTTAGTGGAGTGCTCGCTCCTTTTCTAGCTAGATCGTTTGTTTTTTCATCGCCTTTGGTGAGCGGGCACCTAGAATAGGAGGACTTTATTTTCTTTGCCTAATTTGTTCAGCTTCTCTAGGCATTCTTTGACCAACCTCGAATTGATGGTTACTGAGTTGATGGCTTTTAGTGCTGCTTGACTATCGAATAAGATGGCTATTTCCTGTTTCCGATAGTTCCAATCTAAGATAAATTATACGCATCTTTCGACAGCATTTAGTTTTCCGCCTAAATACTCCCATCCCTGTCCCTGCTTTGGTTTTAGAAGCATCAGTATTATACTGATGTTATTTTGATTAACCAGCACGTTATTAACTACCACGTTATGGTAAAAGACATGCTGGGCAAACGTTTCTCTTTTTACATGCTGGGCAAACGTTTCTCTCTTTCAATTCTTGTTATTACTCAATACTACAGTAAGGTGTTTCTCAAAGTTGTAAATTCTTGGTATGTCATCCACTTGGAGATGGAGGAGTGAATTTTTCTTTTTGAGGCTGCTCCAAGTCCCTGACCTGAAAATTCTCCCAGTACTGAATCCGTCAATGACCATTCTAATCATTGTCGCATTGGCATAACTAATAACTACCAGTGAGCGCTTCATATGAAAAGCATTATTTTTTATTTCGATTGGGATACTTTTTATATTACTACATTATGGAAAAGTATTTTTATAAGCTACTCATGTGTTATTTTTCAGGCGACAAGATATTTCCTAAAGGAGCTAATGTATTTATTTATGTCCTTGCCCTTCACCATAATAGCAAATATTGGCCCAATCCTGAGAAGTTTGATCCAGACAGATTTCTACCAGATGAAATTGCTAATAGATCGCCATATTGTTACATACCTTTCTCGGGTGGACCTAGGAACTGCATAGGTGATAATTTGATATAAATTATAAATTTGTAATTTCAAAGATTTGAATCCAGATCATAATCTATTTTACACTCGATAGGGCTGTGACACTTAATATTTATTAAAAACGCTAAACTCTCTCTAATCTGAAGTAATAATCATAATAATATTATTAAGGATCTTAAATAATTCTCTTTATAATTACACTGATTCTGGTCTATGGGTATCTCGGAAACTACTGGAGAGAGAGAATCGGTTAAATAGGGAAAGAATTGCAGTTTTGTGGGGTCATAAATATGCGCCTTTCAGATTTTTGAAAAAGTTCATGGCTTACTAGATATTTCGAAAAAAAAACAAATTTCGGCTATTTTAAAAATTGTCTCCAATTCCATTATAAGATATTTTAGACAAAAAGTTTTCAGATAAAAGTTGTAAACAATCACGTCCTTAATGAGACTGTGTCCTCCGTTTTATTCTAAAGCCTGTCATTTTGACATATGACACAAACATAGGTTTTTGTAAATGGAAACCATAGTTGGCCATGACTTCATAAAAAGCGCCATTTTTTAAGCTTTTCAGCGATATAAGCTAGTATATGTTTTCATCGAAAAATGACTGAGTTATAGCCAATTCTTATCATTTTTAAACAATTTCACTTAGTTAGCCATGGAAACAGGTTTAATCGTCTTTGCTCTCATAAATGTGAAGCTGTCACATCCAAACATTGTAAATTAAAATAAACAAAAATTGTAAAAATGAATTTTTCAAATGAATAAAAGCGTGTAGGATTATTGGTTAAACTTTTCTTGGCCATACATTTTCGAGGATACGTTGACCGGTGAATGTTACGTTTTTTAGAGAACGGTTTTCAAGATATGTTAGAAAAGTTAAATTTAGTTACAGCCATGGTATTCTTATTCTGTTATGAATTATAACTTATAAAAAGTCCGAATATATTACTAAACGGTTCTTTACAATTTACATTACACAAACTGAAACTTAAAAAAATAATATCAGCAATACACTTTAAGTTAGAAAATGTTCAAAAAATCCGCCATTGTTTTGCGTTGCATCCTCGGTTGCATCTTTTTAAAACTGAATTACTACTTATTCTCACAGAAGGACCGGCCGACTTAATTAAACTTTTCTCGTACCGCCACTTCGAGTGCCTCTCTTAATTCATAAGTTCTTTTGTAAACCTTATTGTTAACTATACCGCATAAAAAATTCTAAAATGGATAGGTCAGGTGACCGAGGAGGCCCATGGTCTCAAATAGTGGACTATTTGGGGAGAGGCCTCAAATAGTCCACCTCTTCCTATCCCTGCGTTTGTATACTTATTATTTAAATAATTTTTAACATTTCTTTCATTATGAGGGATGGGGGGGGGTAGGGGGTCATAATGAAAGTCATGTTGGAACCACTCTATTGATGTGCGAGTATCTACACACTTTTCTTCATTTGAAAAATTCATTTTTTCAATTTTTGTTTATTTTAATTTATAATGTTTGGATGTGACAGCTTCACATTTCTGAGAGCAACGGCGATTGAACTTGTTTCCATGGCTAACTAAGTGAAATTGTTTAAAAATGATAACAATTGGCTATAACTCAGTAATTTTTCGAAGAAACGAAAAAAGCTTATATCACTAAAAAGCTTAAAAAATGGCGCTTTTTATGAAGTCATGGTCAACTATGGTTTCTATTAAAAAAAAACTATGTTTGGGTCATATGTCAAAAACGACAGGCTTTAGAAAAAAACGGAGGAAACGGACTCATTAACGATGTGATTATTTACAACTTTTATCTGAAAACTTTTTGTCTACAATAGCTTATAATGGAATTAAGAACAATTTTTAAAATAGCCATAAACTTTTTCAAAAATCTGAAAGGCGCATATTTATGACCCCACAAAACTGCAATTCTTTCCCCATTTAACCGACTTTCTATCTCCAGTAGTTTCCGAGATACCCATAGAGAACTCGTAGGAAACTCACCCTGTATATTCTTCTACTATTTCCATTGTGTTATTTATTAGAATGTCTTTTCTGTCCACTAGTTTGTTGTTCATTACTTCAGTTTTTGCTAAATTCATTTTGAGACCCACATTATTGCAGGGTGTATTTAGTTCGTTAATTTGTTCTTGTAGTTCTTCAGGACTATTGGCAATTAGCGAAACTTTACTTTGCCATCAGCGAAACTTTACTTTATATTTAAATTAAATATATCTATAAATTATGTTTGTGTTTATAATAATGCATTTTTTTGACAGGAAAAACATACGCTATGATGTCTATGAAGGTTGCTGTAGCCAACGTGATACGAAATTTCAAGATATCATCAAAGTATAAGTCAATTGATGAGATGGAGATGACAAGCTTTATCACCATGAGAACCAAACACGATATTGACTGCCATTTTTCACCTAGAACTTAATAACATTTTACAATTAATTATCGTTATAAGAAGTAAAGCAAGTGAAATAAACTTAGTTTTGTTCATTTTTATAGTTTATAATTACTAAACTTTCTATTTAATAAAGCTATTTAGCTTTTATAACTATGAACCCTTCCTGGACACAAACGGTACATTGTGAGACAGGAAATTGTAGAGAGAAACCAGCCCTATACCATACGATACAACATTTTAATGAACAGTGCTTTCCATAAAATCAATAAAATGTAAAATATACGAAATAATATACATGTACTGATTTCTTTCGAAAATCGACAACTATGAAACTATGATCCCTTCCCCGACACAAACGGTACATTGTGAGACAGGGAATTGTAGAGAGAAACAAGCCCTATAACATAGGTTACAACATTTTAATGAACAGTGCTTTCCATAAAATCAATAAAATGAAAAATATACGAAATAATATACATGTACTGATTTTTTTCGAAAATCGACAACTATGAAAATATGATCCCTTCCCCGACACAAACGGTATATTGTGAGACAGAAAATTGTAGAGAGAAACAAGCCCTATAACATAGGATAAAACATTTTAATGAACAGTGCTTTCCATAAAATCAATAAAATGAAAAATATACGAAATAATATACATGTACTGATTTCTGTCGAAAATCGACAACTATGAAACTATGATCCCTTCCCCGACACAAACGGTATATTGTGAGACAGGAAATTGTAGAGAGAAGCAAGCCCTATAACATGGGATACAACATTTTAATAAACAGTGCTTTCCATAAAATCAATAAAATGAAAAATATACGAAATAATATACATGTACTGATATCCTTCGAAAATCGACAACTATGAAACTATGATCCCTTCCCCGACACAAACAATACATTGTGAGACAGGAAATTGTAGAGAGAAGCAAGCCCTATAACATGGGATACAACATTTTAATAAACAGTGCTTTCCATAAAATCAATAAAATGAAAAATATACGAAATAATATACATGTACTGATATCTTTCGAAAATCGACAACTATGAAACTATGATCCCTTCCCCGACACAGACGGTATATTGTGAGACAGAAAATTGTAGAGAGAAACAACCCCTATAACAAAGGATACAACATTTTAATGAACAGTGCTTTCCATAAAATCAATAAAATGAAAAATATACGAAATAATATACATGTACTAATTTCTTTCGAAAATCGACAACTATGAAACTATGGTCCCTTCCCCGACACAAACGGTACATTGTGAGACAGGAAATTGTAAAGAGAAACAAGCCCTATAACATAGGATACAACATTTTAATGAACAGTGCTTTCCATAAAATCAATAAAATGAAAAATATACGAAATAATATACATGTATAGTCTGTCCAACGAGAAGATCCTTGACAGTGATAGATGTGTCTGTCATTTTAATTTCAAAGTAGTTTATTTTATTTTACAAAGAAATAAGTTGGTACCACTGGAACGCATAGCAGGAAATTAATATATGTATTTAAAATTTGACTGACAAGTAACTTCAAAATATTGTGAAAAAAACTGTATAAAACTGAAAAAATGTAATCGAGTTATTTTATTTAATAAAAAACGGTATGTGTTAATACAAAACAAACAAAAACAAGACACCACATACCAAAAAATATAAAAAAGAACTATTTCTTACTTTCAAGCTTTATGAAACTTCCCGCATATGATTATATTTATCAATATAACTTATGTACAAATACAAATTTCTAATATTCCGCAGGAATAAATAAAACAAACTATTTTATTAATAATAACACTTACCAAATTTTGTACCTCACAGGTTGATTAATTAACTTTAATCTTAACCAGTACCATTTGACATTATTTTTCTGCAGTACTAAAATCCATTATTTACCTATCGTGTGATGTCGATATTTTACAGCTACTCCAGTTTTTAGTATGTGTTTAGTATGGTCCTTCTATCATATTCGAGATGCACTTATCCAGGGGTGGATGGGCCATATGAAAAAAAGGGAAAATTCCCGGTGGGTCGGTGGAAAAATGGGCCGGTGGGCCGGTCTCGATCAGAGCTCAAAAAAGATTGGATTAGCAAAAATTAAATGGTTAATCTTCTAACTAAAGTGACGTAAGAACCTTAGTGACTCCATAACTAACTTATCAATTTTCATTAGTATAATCGTCAGTTGCTTTTAAACATAAACACCAATTTGTAAAATAACTATTGTAAAATGTCTTTCTCTGGGACACATTTAATTTTAATAATCATCTGTTGTTCGGTTTGAAAATGTTTATTATACAAAGTGAGTCTATAAGGAACAAATATTTTCAGGGCTGGTAGATCTCAATAAAATAAACATAATATATTTTCTTTATCGAGTTTCGAATAAGTCCAATCAAGTTATTAAAGTTTTTAAATTAAAAAAAATATATTTTTTTTAAATTTGTGTGAAATTCCGTGGGAAAATTTGCGGTGAACAGGAGTTCTAAAAAGTTTTCTAAAATATACAGAAAAATTTAAAAGAAAATGCTCTATTTTTAAAACCTTTTTTGCAAAAAAAACTCATAGACGTGTTCCTGAGGTCGAAATATACCACCCCTGAAAATATTTGCATTTATTTAACACTCACCCTGTATAGTTTTACCCAATATTCTTTTATTAATTACTAATAAATATGACTGACTGGCAGCAAAAAAAATAATGAATAGCATTAGGTAAATTTAAATAGTCTCGATCTAAATATATACTAAGAATACGTAGCGTAGATTGACAACTGGGGGCCTGGGTGCAATATTTTTCGAACTCCCCTTTGTAAGAAGGTAGACGAATTTGACGCGAACTCTGCGGTTGGCGGAGAAAACATATCTATGCTTGGCATGAACTGGGGACGGAACTAAAAGCCAAGTTTAAATTGTTGTGTAAAATGTTGCTACAATGACGTGTAACTAGATTAGATAATAAAATATTAATGTCTCGAAAATCCAAATATTCGTATTATGAGCTGTAACATAACATTACATCAGAACACATTTATATCCCCTGCCTAGGTATTGCCTAGGTTCTTCTCGTTTCATGTCATTATCATACAAGATGGCAAAAGTACAAAAGTATAGAGGAAAACTTTCGTTATAAGAACTATATAATAAACGAAAAAATGCTCCAGTTTTAATGGCGACCGCGGTTCATTCAGTTAAAAACACATGTACACGAGGAGGCTGCTGCTGCAGCAAAAAGAGAGAATTTCTTTCTACAATGCAGCTGAACTGAATGAATCAGGAAGTCTTAAAGTTTCTCAAAATCGTGACTCAGAATCGTAGCCTATTCAAGATCAAATTACCGTTATCGATAATGGAAATAAAGCAGTAGAACCCTGTAAAACTGAGCCATTTTGTAGTAAAAATTCAGACGTCCGACCCAATATTGGTCTTTACGAAAATTTTGATCAAGACAATTTTTTTTTAAACCGGAGGCAAAAGAGCTTGTTCGCACGAGCAAAATACCCTTACTTATTTACAGGTCGTCCTAGAAATAAGTGCAAGTATTTTAAGGAGTGGTAGATCTCGATAAATGAAACATATTTTCTATTCATCGTTTTTCAAATCAGTCCAAAATAACGCAGTTGTTTTACTTTGAAAATTTCCAAAAATATTTTTTCTCAAATTTTGAGAACCACTGGATCTTTTCTGAATTTTCTTTCTTGTAAATTTAATCTACTACCTATGTTGCCATATCATCAAGAAATTATGTTTTTTTTTTTTTTATTTATTTATGTTTTTAACTAAAACTAAAAAAAATCCAAAACATTTTGCGAAAAAAACCCTCATAGGCGTGTTTCTGGGGTTCAACTATACTATCAGTTAAAATACTTGCACTTATTTCTGGGACACCTTGTATTAATAAATAAAATGTTTCTTCGTTATGGTCATTTTGTTTTTGTGGATTTGGGCCGGTTGTCTGTTTTTCCCGGGCCGGTTTCCACTTCCCCATCCACCCCTGCACTTATCTACGACGAGATGGTATACGAACTTTATTGATAGTAACTTTATTGGTGTATCTGTATAAGACTTTCTGCCTGGGCAGCGAGTATTAACCATAAACTGTGCTCTGGGTTCTACAGTTAATTTTAACTCGATTTTTCCTCCACTAGACTTCAAAAGACACAAAACACACGTAATAACACGAATCAAAATGCATCATCTTCCAAAACGCAGGGTATTTGTCAAAAGTTGTCACAAAATTATAACCTATAATTTGGCAAGACTTTGACAAACGTCAAAAATCTAAAGGCGAGTTCATACGCATCGGCGTCCGTTTGTCGTTTATCGTTCCGTCAAACCAATAAAATTGAAATACGATCTGTCATTTTTGAAATAAACAAATGAATATGACGAATTTATATTTAAACCTATCCATCGTTAACATAAAAATTATTAGAAACTTTTTTAGTAAAATAAATAGATTGGTATGGGACGTCATCTGCTTTTCTTCTGTCATCGTCTGTCGAAATCTTACCTGAGAAAAAAAAAAACAGAGTATACTGATTACTGTCGAAAATCGACAACTATGAAACTATGATCCCTTCCCCGACACAAACGGTATATTGTGAGACAGAAAATTGTTGAGAGAAACAAGCCCTATATCATAGGATACAACATTTTAAATGAACAGTGCTTTCCATAAAATCAATAAAATGAAAAATATACGAAATAATATACATGTACTGATTTCTGTCGAAAATCGACAACTATGAAACTATGATCCCTTCTCTGACACAAATTGTGAGACAGGAAATTGTAGAGAGAAACAAGCCCTATAACATAGGATACAACATTTAAATGAACAGTGCTTTCCATAAAATCAATAAAATGAAAAATATACGAGATAATATACATGCACTGATTTCTGTCGAAAATCGACAACTATGAAGTATGATCCCTTCCCCGACACAAACGGTATATTGTGAGACAGAAAATTGTAGAGAAAACAAGCCCTATAACATAGGATACAACATTTAATGAACAGTGCTTTCCATAAAATGAATAAAATGAAAAATAAATAGATGAGATCAATGTGTTGCCGA